CTGAATTTAGAATTAACCTTTGAAAATATGCAGTTATTTCACATACATGTAAGAATAAGAGCCTGTTGTGATCTTCTAAGTATTGCAAGACATTGACACGGATGTAGTTTAACTTGCTTAATGTTTTTGAGAAGATTTAGGGGAGTAGAGCGGTAACAAACCATCAAATTGATGTTATCTATGAAGTCCTCTGACACACATAAAGGTATCTTTTTGTGATAAGACACAATGGAAACTATTTTCAAAAAATGCTCTTGCTTCATAATTACCTCTGTGAGGGTGCAATGCTATTTGGTTTTTCTAGCAAAATTGTGAAAGCTGATGCATTTACAGATATTTGGAGAGTCAAAAGAAGATCTTATTCCACTTCACTGCAGAGTCACACACATCGTCCCATTGTTCTGTTTTACAAAGAAAACATGCCAGTGTACAGAAAAGGGAGAGGTGTACATTCCCTCTATCTGAGGTTACACGGGGTTATGATGAAAACAGTGTCTTATTTACAGAAAGAAACAACTATTAAGCAAATTCCACAGAAGAAGATTGTGCACTTTTGATCTCTTCAGTGGAGGAGACTTTGGAGCAACAACATTACGGCCCAGTGTTCAAATTCCTGAGTCTCCACACACACATGCCTGTGGGCGTAAATGTGTCAGCGTCTGTTTTATGAGTGCATACGTGTTCCAATGTGTGTCACAGGGGGTATTTATTTGTATCTGCCTGCAAGGAGGAGAGGATGTGTGTGCGTGTGTGTGTGTGTGTGTGTGTGTGTGTGTGTGTGTGTGTGTGTGTGTGTGTGTGTGTGTGTGTGTGTGTGCGTGCATGTGAGCATAGCTGCTGCTGATGTGGGTCATTACCCCTTCTTTCCCCCAGGGGCCATACAGCAGGAGAGGACAGAAGGGGAGGGGATGGATGGGGGTGTGTGTGGTGGTGGTGGGGGGGATGGGAAAAATGGAGGGTGTTGTGAGGGAGGGGTTGAGATTGTGTGTGTGTGTGTGTGTGTGTGTGTGTGTGTTAAAGGGGGGTGGGGGTGTCCCTGAGGAGCAGAGACCAATAAATCACAGTGCCGTCTCTGCGCTGACGTCCAGCTTGTCTGATGAGGGACGGGGAAGGGGGGTGGGGGCAAAGGGAGGTGACGGTGAGAGGTGAATAAGAGGGGAGGGGGGAGGGGGAGAGGGAGGGGGGGGGGGGGGGGGGGGGGGGGGGGACAACACTGTGGCCTTGTCTTCCTGTCACTCAAAGCCACGCTGGGTAGGAGACATTCTCAATCCCGTCCCATAGGCACTGGAGAAATTGACGAGAGGTGGTGGGGGCCGGGAAGGGTGGAGAGATACCACCACAGAACCAGAAGTTTTATGACCTGAACCAAAGCACCTTCCTCCAGTATCACCCTGTCTCCCCTACGTCGAGATTTGTGTGCTTTTTAGTTTAACAGAGGTGAACTTTAGAACTAAAGGAAAAAGCTGCTAACGGGAGTCCATGGCGAGAGGTCACAGATTCCTATTTCAGGGATATTTTCCTCAGACATGTGTGTGAGGGTCATGGGTATGTTTTGGCGCTTGGGTGTCTGCCAATCAGAGGGTCAGAGGTTCGATCCCTATCCCCTATAGTTAAAACGTTCCTGGGCAAGATACTTAATCCCAAATCGCTCCCATATGTATATGCTATTGAAGTGTAAGTAAGTTGTACGTGGTAGGCTTAGGGGCGGGACATCTATAAACGGTTAACCAATCACAACAGAGCCGGCCAGCTAACCAATCGGAGCAGACTGGGCTCTGGTTTCAGACAGAGGGTGAAAAGAGGTGCTGCAGCACAGGCAGTATGAGGAAAATAAAGAGCTTTTTGACAGTAAAGCATGGAGACATGTCAGAGTAGAGATGCTAAATACAGATATGAAACCTGAACATGTACATAATAGGGCCCCTTTAAAGATCAGTTGGTTATTATCTTCTTTTTATTTAAAAAAAAGCTATGAACCTGTTGCATTTGCATGTGTTTTCAACCTACTATGCGCATGTGGGCTTTTCTTTGTTAAATAAAAGGTTTTTGTTGCAGCCTTCAAATTGCAGCATGGAGCTCCAACATTGTGGTCTGTAGAGGAAATACTGCTATTGAAGGAAATGGTTACCCTGCTGTGTGTATGATGGTCTCCTACTGGTGCGATTGTTGCAAAATTGCATGTCTGGAAATAAAGCCTGGTGTGATGTGTGTGAGTGCACATATACTCAAATCAAACTCTATTGTACAACCATCATGGAAATACCCTGAAGTGGTCATCTAGATTGGTATTCATCGCTGGTATTACAAAAACACTCAAAATTCACAATAACTGACAATTATTTTGCTGGATTTTCTTTATTTTTATTTTCAGAGTTTCTGCACCTCAAAGTGTATTGATGGGATGTTAGTATACATCCTGCAACTGCTGGAGACAAGTGAAGCTTATTGATCCGGCAAGACATTGTAATGACCGCTCTCATTGTGCTGCCTTTCAATGAGCAGAAGAAAATACATGATAGTTCATGTTCCTGAACGGATATCTGTCCAGTAGACCTTGTCCGGTGTTTTTGGGGAATCATTTAGTGCTAATATCAACGTCACAGTTTGACACTTGAATTGCTGTTGGCAACCACGTAGGAATGAAGTTTTCGTGGGAAGTAAACTTGTTTTCATCACCCTCGTTGAAAACCACTCCCTCCTTGGTGATAATTTGCCTACTGTCTGTGTTCCCTTACCTCGCCTTAAGTTGTGATTATAAACGGTGCTACTCCTTCAGGCACTTTCCACTCTGAGCTATAGGTATGTGTGTGTACTAGGTGAGCATGCTTCTGTTTAGTTGCATTCTGCAAACATGCGGTTGACAGAATTGTCTCTTTACAACCTCACACCACCGAGCTAAAAACCCAGAAGCTCCTGTAACATTACGACCATTGTGTCCCGTCCCATTGTGGGGCCACTTTGATGTCCCGTTGCTCTGAGTCTCTGTGGAGGAGAGAAGGGCACTGTGGTGTATTTAATCACTGGATCTGAGCCAACACACACACACACACACACACACACACACACACACACACACACACACACACACACACACACACACACACACACACACCTAAAGCACACTCTGTCATCTGACCTGCCAATAGCAATAATGTGTGTCCTTCACTTATCATTTGATATCATCTATATTATTATGCCTCTCCTCAGTAACGCAGCCTCATACATCCTGTGCACCCCCATCCCCACCTTCACCCTCACCCCAACCCCCACCCCGCCGCCCAGCAAGCACACACACACGCACACGCACACGCACACGCACACACATGAAACATCTCCCCATGCAGCAGCAGACTGCAAAGCACTGCATTCCTCATGACTTTTTTTCTCTTCTTCTAATAAATGTGATCCCAGAATCCGGGAGGGAGACCAGCGCTGTGCATTAAAATTCATGGGAAAAGATGGCAATAAAATATTTCTTTCTGTCTCTACTCCCTTCTTTCTCTCCTTCCCTCTCCACTCTCCCCACTTGCTCCCCTCACCCTTCTCTCTTTTTCATTCCCTCACTTGTCTGCTCAACACACACACACACACACACACACACACACACACGCACATAAACAAGGCACGCACACACACATATACACACTTTTTTTTTTCATCCCCCGTGTGCACTCTCCCTCTCGTTCAATCTCTAACCCTCCTACTGGCTCGTCTTTCTCAGCACCCCCCTGCTGTCCTTCATCCTTTATTCTCTCCCTCCCTCCCTCCCTTTTCCCCTCCCTACCTCCCTCCCCCCTCTGTGTTTCCTCTCTGTCTCTTTCTCACACACACACACACACACACACATACACACACACACACACACACACACACACACACACACACACACACACACACACACACACACACACACATTTATACTCTCACACAAACACACACACACACACACACACACACACACATTTATACTCTCACACAAACACACACCCATCTATATTTTCCAACTCCACCTCTGGCAGGTTGTGATTTCCACTGTCAGAAATTGCTTTTTCAATATCTCTCTCTCTAATTATGAGCCCCGCCAAAGGGGTCGTGCCACCAGAATACCAATTTTTTCCATCGTTTCTCCCTTCTTCTCCAGAATTCTTCTCCTTTTCCAGGTAACAACAATGCTGCATATTCAATATATGCCCATGCAAGCGTTGCAGCATTATCACTGTTGTATTTCGGTGGGTTCTGCTGTCTCAGATTTAGATGTATTCTGTCTTTTCTTGTGTGGTCAGCTCCCTGTGGTCATGATTAATTTTTGACATCTCAAAATGAGCAGGACGATTGCAGAAAGTTAGTGCAAAAACTCAATTTATTTCTATATCAACAAGGATGAATTGGGGAGGAAATGTAAGATTTCTCAATGCATTGATGGTTTTTGTGGGGAGGAGAAAAAAGAAAACCACTGAATCTTGATACAGCCACCACACAGCTCCTCACACTCTCAATCACTCCCTGCTCCCAGGAAAGGGTTAACCTCACACAGCAGTTGTAGCCTGCTTGATTGACGTGCGGAGCTTTGAGCTGCCTACACCGTCCAATCAGCGAACGGTCAGCGCGCCCCACGTGGGTGTTTTCAACGCTCATTGGTTTATTTTACCAGTGTTTACCGTGCCGAGGCCGAGCCCCACGTGGAGATTTCATTCAATCACTGAACAATTCCTCTGTACCTCTTCTTTAAAAAGAAAATGTTGTACTTTTTAGATATTTAAATGTGATAATGTGTAGGTATAGATGTTTAATTTCATAGCTGGATGAGAATTAACCTTGTTACAATTCAACACCAAGTGAGGACGGATACGGGTTCTTTGCCAATATCACCAGGCTATTTGAAGACATGTGCAAATGCTGTCTTCATAACTTCAATATATGATGTTTAATGTTGATAACTGTGTTGGGGGGCAGTGTCTTTAGCCCCCTCCTCCTTAAAGAAGGCTACTCATATGTTATGTCCCATTGAGGATCAGAGAGGGGGGAGTGAGAGGAGTGAGGGACTGGGAGTGTTGTGTGAAAAGAGTGCAGGCCAACCAGCGAGACAAAAGAGGCTGCGGCTGCATTGAATGTGCCGGTGGTGTGTCCGTCTCCGAAGCCACAAGCAAATCACATTTCCCCCCCTCCCCTTCTGGCCTGTACGGAAGGCGAAGATACACCGGAGAGGGAAATTGCGATATTGTAATTCTGCTGGAAAAGCGCGAAGTTGAGGACTTTGGAAGAAAGAAAAGAGCTTGTTTTTGGACCGGGTGTTCCTGCTCTCCTCTGCCCGTCCTCACTACACGGTGCGCGGTTGGAGATATAACCCAGAACAAAGGAGTCTTGAAAGCGAGGAATGAGCAAGCCGAGACTAGCTTTGCCATTACCTTTGAAACCGGGCCAAATGCCTCTCTGAGACCAACAATAGTACATCGGCTGCTCGTATTTCTCGACGAAGCTTTCCGCCTGAAAAGCGAGAAAGAAGACGGACAAAAAAACCGCACACGGAGACACAAGTCGGCGGCTACAATGTTTCCCCAGAACCGACCACCGGTGAGTAAAGCTACGCTACTATGTAACACACGTTTTAGGAGGTTATTGTCTTATTTTATGAACCCTTTATCAAATATAACGTGCGTATATGATTTTAAAAGCTTCAGTTAGAAAGTGCAAACCGAAAATGTTTGTCTTTGTCATCCTTACTCTGCATTTCCGGGGACTCCTTTGTGGGGGAATTATGATGCTCTATAGGCTGTTATACAACATATTATCTCCTTTGTCTATATTTTAACGCCCCGTGTAATCTGTGTTTTATGAAGGTCAGGCAGATTGCTGTCAGTAGTCCAACGTCCAACTTTTGCTGAGTGTCTTTTGTGTGTGAATCTCATGTCCTTGGTAGCTAACACCACCACCTCCAGTAGAGAAACATGGAGCCTCCTTATATTCCCCATAGTGTGGTGGAGTTGACCCAGATGATGAAGTGTGTGTTTGTTTGTCCCTTCCTCACGAGATATGTGTGTGTGTGTGTGTTTGGGGGGGGAGAGTGAGTCAGCTTGGCTTGTTGACACCTTCACTCAATGGTCTGCCCTTTTCAAGTGCCACTCATTGTTTTCATTTTTTTCTTTTCACTCATATCAAGGGTGAGTCATGCCCTCTGATTTACTGATTTTATGCACTGAAAACTAGAAGCTTCCCCTTAGAAAGATATCCAAAAGTCCTCTATAATGGCTAGTAACGTGGCTGTAAAAATGATAAAGAAATTGGCATGTTATCTGTATTTTGAGATGAGGTTATAGCGAAATTCTTGCTGCGTGGCTTCAATTTGTTTTAGTCGAGTTAGGTGGAGAGCTTTTGAGCAGGCTGAAATACATAAACACTGGTCCTCCAGCTGTGTGAAGTATCAATTAAGACCTGCTCATTTGCCTAACCCTCATCTACATCCCTCAGCCATGCCACCCTGCACCCCACCCCTGACAGTGTTTTGACATTCATGTCCCATGCATTGAAACCAGATTAAGCACACTGATGTATAACTTCTTGTGAATGTGTGTTTATGCCACTTTAATTAAGGCATCTCGCATATTAATTAGTGCAAGGGAAAACCCACAACAACACATTGTTTTTCAGCTTTTTTTTTACGTGTTTGCACGTGGCTTAAATTGCATCAAGCATTGTAACTTTTTAATTATAACTTCCTTTTTAACAATAAAGGGATCTTGTGAGTTCCAGCACATACGATAAAACACACACTCCAGCAGCTGTGTATGTATATGGCTGACGGCAGGAAGGCAGGGCAGGAGGTAGACTGTGGGTCTGTGGTTAGCACTGTAAACCCAATCCCTCTCATCCAACCTCTCCTCACTGTGTTCCTGTGAGAGCTCCAAACCACATCTTAATGTATGGGCAGGCGTCTCAGGGTGAGAGGAGCAGACTGCGGCGGGTCTGGGTTCAATGTTTAGGCCGGCGGTGCTGCTTCATTTCAGCCCTCTGCAGGTCTCAGCAGCTCTGCTTCATTTCAGCCCTCTGCAGGTCTCAGCAGCTCCACGTGAGAGCCTGTCCTCCTCAGAAAGTCTCCAACCATCAGCAGCTCTTGTTTGCACCTCGGAGTGAAGGGCCACTCAACCCGGCATACTGTTTAATCTCAGAAATGCTAGACTGGCAGTGACCTGTCATCACTGCATACCGGTCTGCTGTGAAGGGAGTGACCCATATATTGGTATACGATGACCCATATTTACAAATGCATTTTAATCAAATGGTTATTGAAAATTGTGCTCCATTAATTGCACACTTAAAATGCATTTTCAGATACTGAACAAGACACACTGTGGATGTTCTGCCATAAGTTAACATCCAGGTTATAGCTTGCTAGTGTCCTAAGTAAATGCAGAACATGCCTTATCTTAAAGGGGCCCTATGATGTTCATGTTTGTATTTTGTGTCTCTACTGTGACTTGTTTACATGCTTTAATGTTCAAAAAGCTCTTTATTATTCTCATACTGTGCTGCAGCACCTCTTTTCACCCTCTGTCTGACACCAGAGCCCAGTCTGCTCTGATTGGTTAGCTGGCAGGCTCTTTTGTAATTGGTTAACCACCCAGAGATGTCCCGCCCCTTAGCCTATCACGGTCAATGTGTAGAAGCAAGCATGTTACACCGGGACGTCACTATGTTACAGAAGTAAACAAAGGAGTCCAATGGCGGCGTTTCAGGCAGGGGGGGTGGAGTGTGGGAGAGAGAAACTCTGAACTTTGGGATTTTAGCCGTTGCAGACCATTTTAAATGCACACAAACCTACAGTGTATAACTCACTACAGGAAAGGGATAACCCAAAAAGCATAATAGGGCCTCTTTTAACTTCCTCTCATCAGAGACTAAATTCAAATGACTTGAAATATGTGATGGCACTGTGGTGTCAACCAGCTCATAAACACGGCAGAAACATGCATAGAAACATCTTGAAATTGCTTCTATGTGCCAAGATCACTTTTGATATTTTGCCAAATAAAGTATACTCTCTGAAATGTGTATCGGATATGGCAGGCATGGCTGGCTGTCTTAAATAGTTACGGTCCTTTCAGATCTGCCACAGTGACACATACGGGGCTGTGCTGTAAAAACAGAAGTGGACAAGAATGCAAAACATCAGATAAGACTAGGACATTTCAGGGCCTGTTATGATACTCAGCATGTTAGCAAAAACGCATTTGACTCACTTTAAATAAAGCAACGAATGTATTACTTGCATTAACTGGGACAAAATGGTGGCATTAGCAGCACATTTGTTATAACTCACCAAAATGTGGCCGTTTTTTTGTTTGCTTATGGGGGAAAAGTAGTTCTAATGATCTAACTGCTGCCAAAGTAGACTTCATCTCTGGCACATAATATATTTATAAGTGAGTTATTAACAGCATCCAGACCTCTCAAATGTCACATTTATGATTGGTCATATTATTACAAGAAGCCCTCTGCCAACCCTTTTATCCCGAACAATGCCCTAGGCTGGGGGAGGGGTTTGTTAAGAGGCTACTATTGTGGGTGAACCGTGGTTACATTTTTGGTAGATTAGCCCATCGATCATACATAATTTATAAAGTTTCATAATCTATTAGGGCAATGATCGGACACGTTTCTAATGTTTGTCATATTATCTTACCCACTAATTTCGATGCTACCAAATATTTCCATTGTAAACATTCATTAGTGGGTTGAGTTACTGTATGTGCTGTACTCACTGTACTTCGCTATCTTTTCTTCCAAATAAATTAGATTAAACCAACTGGATTTGTTTATGACAGATTCTCTGACTGTTTTTGTCCCAAAGGACTTTCTTGGAAAACAGTTTTTATATGTCAGGGTTGTTGCTTGTTTTTATCAAAAAGTACACGTTGACACATTTGACATTTTCTAGATTTATATAAATGTGTTTGTCGCCTAGGCTGTCAAATGTTTCCAAAACCACACCTAGCATCAATCCATACATCATATTGAATGTCGTGGTGTTGCTATATTAAGCATGCATCTTACTTTAATATATACTTCGCGATTAATCGTTTTTTGTTTATAAAACTCATTAAATTGTGAAAAATGTCAGCCCAAGTTTTCAAGCTAATGTCAATAAATGTTTTGTTTTGTGAGTCCAAAACCCAAAGAGATTCAATTGACATGCTCTGTATGTTAATATGATAACACAGAGAGAAAAGCAGGAAATTCCCGTATTTGATAGATTGAAAACAGCATTATCTGACATTTTTGCAAAACTACCAATTCTTAACAAATTCTTAACAAAATTATTTAAATATTTGCCGATTATTCCTCTGTTTAATGACTAATCATGTCATTGTACTCCTCATTGATTATGCCATATCTAAAACAGAAGTGCACCCAAAAGAAAGTCGTGGCTTCTGCCAGTGCCTCAAATCTGTCATTAATCATATGGAGTCTTTAAAAAAAAAAAAAAACACATTTCGGTGACAGCAAACCTAGTTTAAGTAGTTCATTTTTCTTACAGATGAAGCTGCAAGACGTGCTGAAGTATAATAATAAAATATTGTTAAATGACCTGGAAAAGCAGCAGTAAAGAGAACGGTTTTTAACCTGGATTCAAAAATAACCCAGGGTTGGTGCAGACCTCAGATGTTCAGGAAGTTTGTTCCACATTTGTTTTCTTCTACTGGTCTGAATCTTCATATGTTTCTATTAGGGCTGCACGATATATCGTGTCGTGACGATAATCGCGTTATGCGCATGGGCGATATTGACATCGCAGGACGACGCAGAATTTTTAAATGTTTTAATTCAATTTTAATTTTTAATTTGCAAATTTAAGTAGGCAAATTAACTCAAACACGTCATGTTACAATTATTTTGCTGCTTGCTACAAAAGGAAAACTTGTGCGGCTCTCATGTCAGGTGCACAGCAAACCACGTCATGTTGCAATCATTCTTGATCAGATCACAGCAGGATAACCGAGCTAGCTCAGCTTGTTGCTCTGATAACTTAAGATCCAGAAGTCCGTGACTAAAATCCTTCATCCGCTTAAATATTGTTAAAAAAATACCAATTGTATAGCATTAAAGTTCAAGAAAGGATGCTTTGCGGACAAAAAAAACTGTCTTTTCTTCAATTCCTGTATTTTTTCATATCGCAATATATATCGCAGGGGAAGAAAATATCGCAATGTCAATTTTTTCCAATATCATGCAGCCCTAGTTTCTATTATTATTATCACAATCCCTTAAAGGAGGTAGTCTTTCTATGAATGTCCAGTCAGTAAATATAGGTAAGGTAGGAGAGTGCAGAGAGTACATTGGAGCTGAGGCCCTTTCCTTGTCCTCAGAGCTAGCACAAAGCAAGCCTCCCCTCCTATCATGCTTTTAGCTCTTTATCACCATCACTGTTGTCCAGTGGTGAGAGTGTGGCTATCGATCAGGAGCTCGCCTGCTCAGCTCAGCCACCGATTAGATGGAAAGAGAGGGAGCCAGAGAGGGGGAGAAAAGGAAGAAAACGAAGGAAAAGAGGCTGACGGGATCTCGGGTTTACACAAGCT